TATGTCCGCCTCTAGCCTCCCAAGCTATGTCCTTGGAGGTGGCATGCTACCTGTACCTGAAAATGATATTCCCATATAGGGTGAGCCACAGCCCAGTAGAAAATACACTAAACAACCATGAACAATGACTAAAGATTAGCAATTGATAGATGGCCAACACTGATACATCCACAATAAATCACATTTTATTATCATACGACTTATGAGTCCAAGTTACTTTTCATTTTCCCTTTTTCAACAGATAAGCATGTCAGCTCTATCATCCTTTTCAACAGATATGTATAAAAACTATATCCCACATTCACAGATAAGCATATAAGCTATACCCACATTCTCAACAGATATGTATCACAAACAATATCCACATTCACAGATAAGCATATAAGGTATATCCACACTTCACAAAGATAAGCATATGAGCTCTATCTTCACTTCTCTAGACAAGCATATGAGCTGTATCTACGGAGTTCATCCCCTATCTTCTCCCAACACTATCCGGTTTAGAGGTACATCCCCCATCTTCCCCTAAACCGCGGAGTACATCCCCCATCTCCTCTTCTACACATAACGTATACAAACACATTGGTTCTATATACAATTACTCAATACATATAGTTAATGTATTCTATCAACCGTCAAATTCCATGACACATTCCATTGATTAGTTTCCGTTTGCCTAATCATCATGCATTATCTACAACAATCACGACTATCCTCCACCGATAGCCCAAGCAATTATTTCTAAACAAAAAATAAATGCACAAATGGATATTCAATCAACATTTCATTCCGGTGAGTGATAAATAATTCAACTACACCCTTTAACCCTTTGCATTCCCAATCTCAACAATCTCATTTCATTTCCTCATTTCTCACAATTAATTATCCCAATTAATCAAACAATGCAATTAGAATTTAAAGAAATAAAGAAAATGAGAGACTTTGTTTGATTACAAAAATCAAACTCGAAATAAAAATAAATAAATAAAAACAGATTTTATTTTGTTACAAAAACAAAATTAAAATCTGATTAAATAAACAAAATTAAAATCGGAATAAAAATTAAATAACTTACTTGGTTAATATTTTTTGAATAACTATCTGATCAAGTCTAGTGTTTAACACTGTGTCCTTAAGACAGATTCGTCCTCTCCACGGTGCTTTCAGAATCTGGACGTCTATCTCCCAGGATAAAATGATCTATCAACGAATAAAAGCAGTACTACAATTTATTCGTTCGTCGAACACACTAAGTGTTTATACTCTGTGTAACAAGAACTTAATGCAAAATGAAAAATAAATTTATAGCAGAAGATGGAGTACGAAAATTGGAGTATTTTTCCAAATGGGGGGGCTTAGTCTATTTATAGATGGATTGGTGGCTTTCCATTTTGAATTAAACAGGTACTGTACCTGTTCAATTTGAATTAAATAGATACAAACTGTTTAGGCACTGTTTGGTTTGAAATTCAAACAGATTTAGAGCTGTTGGGTTCAAAAAACGGAAGGGCCCTGTTTGGATGTACAGGAAAAACCGAACCAGATTATTTTCGGTTTAAAAAATAAAAATAAATTCAAATATTTTTGGCCCAAAAAGATTAGTATTGGGCCGAACAAGCCCAACCCAACCACACACCACGCACCAGCGCCCAAGCCCAGGCCCAGCCCGCCCGATCGAACGGCCGGCGGCGCGCGCGTGGTGATTTTTGGGTCCAATGGGTCTAGCCCATTTTGCCTATAACCTCTCCCTCTAAAACACTTGGGTACCCCTTGGGGCACACCCCAAGTACCAAACCCAAGTCTTATAAACCCTTTCAAAACCTCCCACCAAATCAATGTGGGACAAGCCATTTTACAATTTTAAGGAATTTCCACCAAAACTCCATTTCCATGGAACACACTTTGGCTTCAATTTCCCATTCACTCGGTAACGGTTTTGAGCAACCAAATATACCACGTGAATCATAACGCGGCATAGAACGCATTACCACTTTGACCGGAGTAAATCGACGCTCGGGACCCACCTAAAAATAGACCAAACTTGAGAAAAAATTCTGGTTTTACCCAGAATTTTTCTACCATTTCCAACAGATTGATGCATTGTATCACCAACATGTTGAAGAAAATAGGGTCAATGGAACTTTCACTATTTCATCATATGATAAAATAGTAAAGGAATTACGTGAGATATACAACTTGGACTTAGATAAGGCCAAAGTCAATAATAGGCTGAAAACTATCAAAGAGCATTTTGCTGAGTGCTATGATTTATTCAAACATACTAGTGGTTTTGCTTGGAGTCCAGTTACAAGGATGTTCACTACTGAACCTGAAGTTTGAGAGGCATTGATTGAGGTACTTCAATTAATTTCAGTTTATGTTGATTTTTTTAAAAAAATAATAGAAAAACATAACTTATATTTAATTGTAACTTTTCTATTTTTATTTTTATTTTTTATTTTTTATTTTGGTAAAAAGTGAAACCACATGCTGAGAAATGGAAATGTACACCCATTGGCAACTATGAAAAGCTGGTTGAGATCTATGGAAAGGATAGGGCAACTGGTGTAGGTGCTGAAACTGCTAAGGAAAAAATACGACGATGGGCCAACTCATCAAATAATGATCATGTAGATAGAATTGAAGTCATTAATGAACTGGTGCACCAAAATGAAGCAAACTTGGAAAGTTTTGTTGTGGATGAGGATGACGTTGTGTTGTCTCCTAAAAGTGGAACATCTTCGAAGGCAAAGAAAAGAAAGCTCTCAAATGATGGTGAGAGGGACGTTGACATACTGAAGACAGCATTACAGGATATCGCATCAGCTATAAGAGAGGGAAATGCTTCTATGGAGAAATCCCAAGGATGTTTTCCAAGATGAGAGTTACATAAAGCATTAGAGGAAATTTGGAATTGCGCCACACTTGTTTACTGAGGCATACATCTTTTTTACCAAGAAATCTGAGAGGATGGTGCAATTCTTTGGTTACCCAGTAGAGTATCGCAAGGAAACTTTAGAGAGCATGATGTATGACCCTGAGAATCGTTGGTAACTCTTCTATAGATGGGATCGTACTTTATTTGAAGGGAACATTAGAGATGTCTATCATATTTTATACTTGACTCCATTTAGGATGTGGTGTCTTTTGTGGATGACTTTGAACTTATTTTGGATTTTTTGTGGATGATTTTAACTCTTTTTGGATCTTTTATGGATGATAGCGTTGGCAACTCTTCTATAGATGAGATTGTACTTTCTTTGAATGAGACATTAGAGATGTCTATCGTATTTTGTACTTGACTCCATTTAGGATATGGTGTCTTTTGTGGATGACTTTGAACTTATTTTGGATCTTTTGTGGATGATTTTAACTCTTTTTGGATCTTTTGTGGATGATAGCGTTGGTAACTCTTCTATAGATGGGATTGTACTTTCTTTGAAAGGGACATTAGAGATGTCTATCATATTTTGTACTTGACTCCATTTAAGATATGGTGTCTTTTGTGGATGACTTTGAACTTATTTTGGATCTTTTGTGGATGATGAATTCCTTGCTTTAATATCCATTTTTTTTTACTCAATTTCATACTATTTGCTTGATTGGTCTTAAGATGTTGTGAATGATTCTTAGGTGTTAATTCTTACTTTTGGAAGATTACCTAATACACTCTCACTCCTACCCATGACATCTTCATTGGCTTCACTATATGTTCTGATGTGCCCTTTAAATACACACAGCATCTCTGTATTATCCCACATTGATTCATCATTTTTTCCTTTTTTTTTTTTTTTTTGGTTACTTTTTTATTTTAAGTTAATTTGTCCTTGTTGATTATATATATGTTATTACAAAAGTTGAATGCAAAGTCCTGATATCATTAGAGTCATGCACCTATGAAAAAATATGATTTTTTTTTTCTCAAAATTGAATGAAAAAAAAGAAAAAGAAAAAAAAAAGAGTGAAGATTGGAGATGCTCTTATATAGTGACAAAATATAAAAAGATTATTTTGGTAATATAATGTAAAATAGTTTATTTTCTTTTCTCTTATGAAATCTAACCAAATAAGAAAGAGAGAAATCACAATCATTTATTTTCTTTTATTTATTACTTATCCAAATAAAAAAAAAGAGAAATTACAACCATTTATTTATTTTTTCTTTCCTCTCATTACGTAAGTAATCATTTCTTTTATTTTGCAGTATAGGTATCCGAGATTTTGGGGTGTTTTATCATTTACAAAATGAATCATAGCTCAGAAAATAGACGATTCAGTGATATATAACATACATTCCCGCGTTTAGTTTGCTTCTTTCAAGTTTTCAACACAAAACCTAGCTTCCCCTCTCACTCTCACTCTCACTCTCCCTCTCCCATTGCCGATTCTCTCTCTCTCTCTCTCTCTCCCCAATTCCAATTCCATTTTTTTTTTGTTTGTATACAAATATATAAAGATGATGTCGAAGACGTTCGAAGGAGCGAACGTGTTCATGTCTCGGAACCTAGTGCCGCCGGAGATCTTCGATTCGCTTCACGACTCTCTCAAGCACAACGGCGCCAAGCTCTTCCTCTGCTCCGATCCTTCTCGAAACGGCCCCGATGATTTCCATGTCATCTCTTCTACTGATCATGTAACCCCCAATTGCTCACCTACAATTTCAATTTTCACTTCAATTTTTTCAATTTCTGAATTCTCAATATTTGCTTTGCAGGAAAAATTCGAGCTTCTTCAAAAAAAGGGTTGTAATTTGCTCGGTATGGTTTCGAGTTTACTCCCACTAATTTATCTCCATTTTAGGCCATTTTTTTTAAAAAATGTGTATTAATTTATTCTCAATTTCTAACCCAGCTAAATAAGCTAAAAAATTAGCTTCTTTTACTTGTTTTTTACTATATTTGTACTTTCATTTTATTTTTCTTCTGGAAATTGAAGATCTAAACACAGCATTAATGTGTGAATCTTATAATTACATTTGTAAAGTTTGGGTTGGATTTGGATTTGCATTTGTAATTTTTTGTTACATTTCTTTGAATTGTTGGGCTTTAATATGGAACTATTGATATGTATTTAACATACACATGCACAAATATATAAAAGACCTATGATATTTCATAGTTTGAATTGCTTTTTTTGCAATTCCAGAACTTTTGTTATTTCATATTGGACATGTACACCCATTAAAGTACATGTATGCATGTGTTCTTGAAATTGGTATGTTTGCCTTAGCTGTTTGGTATTGTGTAGGGATTGATTATGAATTTCAGTCACCAAATTTTGTGGTTGGTTTTGACTCTGATTTTTTTTACAGTTATCTTGGAATATAGTCATATATGCATATATTCAAATGGCACTCTAGTCAATTTTGGGCAGAACTGCATATGTGAAAATTGACCACTAAATTAAACAATGATTTTTTAGCTGTGTGAACTGAATTAATGCGGTAATGTTACATTGTTACTGCTGCATCTCCACTTCAAATTCACCTTTTATTAGGAAAAAATGACAAAGTTACTGTTTTTTCATGGCTAATCTGCTGAGTTTTATGTGTATTTGTACTTTTTCAGGTCCTCAATGCGTGCTTTCTTGTGCAAAAGAACATAGACCGCTTCCTAAACAAGGGTTTACTTGTTGCCTCGCAATGGATGGAGTCAAAGTACTGGCATCCGGTTTTGAGATGGATGAAAAGGTATTTTGGCCCCATTGTCCATCACTCCGCACTACTTCTCATCTCTATATCACAGATACATAGGGAAATGGGGCTGAAAGGGTATACTACTGTTCTTTTCTTCCAAAATGCGCTTCTATTTCCTTGTTTAGTTTGACAAATATGTTGTAAAAAGCTTAATCTAAAGGTGAGGAAATTGCATTATTCCAGCTCTTCATCTCTCTCTGTCTGCTGATGTTGATACTTGGTAGCTTCTGCTTGTGTGTGATCAATTATGTAATCATGTTCCATCTTTGTCCTGCATCCACTGTTTAAAACTTATGCAAGCAGAGAAAGTATGACACATGCTTTCTAATTCTGAATGATTAGTGGCACACTGAAATGCACACAAGCCAGCTCTTGATTATCTCAACTACATCATCTTATTTAGAAATACAGGAAACTCTTTATTTGACCATTTTTTTGGAATGGTGTTACTAGTTTTGTACTTTTGCATTATATTAGTTGGGTGATATGGTCTGGTATTCGATAAATGTTTTTTTACTTGCAAAGTCTGATACACTAGTATATGCTATTCCTGAAGAAACGTTTGGCCTACCGTTCATTCTTTTTGACATTGTTCTTTTATCTTATTGTTCTCTCTCTCTCTCTCTCAAAAAAAAAAAAAAAAAAAATGTGTTTCTTGTTTTCTTAGAAACAAAAATACTAAACGTATAACACAATCAAATTGCCCTGTGTGTCTGGTAGTTATCCATCATGGACTCTACAGCATTTTTTTTCTTTGTTTTAAACTCCCTCTTCTTTATATGGGGAAGTGATTCTTTGTGCTTATAAATGTTTTGCAGCTTGAGATTGGAAAGATGGTGACTGCTATGGGGGGAGTGTTGCATGCTAAAACATCTTTGGATGTCAGCTTTGTTATTGTAAAGAATGTTTTGGCTGCAAAATATAAGGTTTTCAGTTTTTCTTTTTCTTCTTCAGTTTTCAGCATTCCATCTGTTTTTATTTATTGTTATCAAGTAAAAAATGACCACTGGCCTAAGCTTACTTAGGCTGTCAATGTGGTGTATTTCATGAGTATGTCGGGTTTCTCCATCAATGCGCCAACGTGGTCATTATTGTTAGATCACCAATTGTCCCAAAAGCTTAACCTGTTAGGATATGAGGCTAATAATGTAAATCAATCAAGCTACTCCCTCTCACGTGCAACCCCTTGTTGCACAGGGAGAGAATAGATGAGTACACATGTAGAGAAAATAGATTGAGTGCACAATGACAAGGATAACCAGGGAGACGCGATTTGAATCCAGGATTTTCTAGACCCTGATATCAGGGAGCTTCTATTTGCACACACCACTTCCCCTCTCCTCACACACTTAATGATATTTTTTTTATTACATTTTTATCTTAAAATAAAATTACCAAAATATCCCTTTCTTCTTCAACCAAAACCCTAACCCTAACCCTAACCCTAATACCCAACAGAGTGCCTCCCCCTCCGGTCATCTCCTTCCTCCCTCCGTCGCCTCCCTCCAGCCTCCCTCTTCTCGAATTGAAGCCCCACCCCACCTCATCGTTCATCGCTCACTCACCCACCCACCCTCTCCACCACCCCCGTAACCCCTCACTTCGGGACACAACACCACCGCCGCTGCAGCTTCCACCCCTTCGCGACCCTCAATTCTGCATAGAGAGAGAGAGAGAGAGAGAGAGAGAGAGAGAGAGAGGAGAACCTAGATCCGAAGCCCCCTTTTCGCGACTGAGAGGGGAGAGAGAGAGAGATCGAGGGGATGGGGTGGGCGTCGCGGTAGTGTCGCCGGTGGGTGAAGGAAGGGGTGAGAATGGCGACTGGAAGGGAGGTGGTAATGATGGTGGTTGCCGGCGAGGTGGTCGCCGGCCTGGAAGGTGTGTGGATTGGGAGGGTTGGAGAGTTGTGTTTATGGGGATATAATTGGAATAAAAGTGTGTGTAATGAGTAAATATTTTATTTTTTATTTTTTTAGGTGTGTGAATTAAGAAGGATGTGCCAATAGAGGATTGAGTGTGTGCAAATAGATGGTCCCCTGATACCATGATAGATCACCCATTGTCCCAAAAATTGGACAAAAGTTCTTCTTTCGATTAGTATATTGGGATTTAGGCATGCTTTTTGTTTTTGGCTTCTATTTTTTTAACCATTCTTTCTTAGAACAAAATCTTCTTTCAATTACTTTATTGGTATTCCATAACTTTTGTTTCCCACTTTCTGGTGCTGCAGTGGGCATTGAATGTTTTAAAGAAACCAATCGTCACATTAAACTGGTTACATCAGTGTTGGAAAGAGCATCGTATTGTTTCTCAGGAGTCATACAGGGTTCTTCCTTTTTCTGGATTGACAGTCTGTGTTACCAGAATTCCTGCAGGTTGACAGTTTTGGAAAATAGTTTTTTACTAACCTAGTAATATAGCTACGGATTGATGCCGTTGATATATGTTAGATTTAATGTCGTGTTAATGTGCTTGTTTACTCTCAGATGAGCGGAGGGAGATGGAGAAAGTTGTGGTGCAAAATGGTGGCAAATATTCTGCTGAATTGACCAAGAAGTGTACACATTTAGTTTGTGATATATCCTATGGCTATGTGTGATTTTCTTTGAATTGCAAGTACATTTTCCCATATCAATGCAGTCATGTGTCAACTCAATACATTCTTGTCCTTCATACTTGGTTTTGGGTGCCCAAAATTGGTTTTATCTGCTCTGAGATCGTATTGTGAGTAGTCATCATTTCTTTATTACCTAGCCTTTAGGCCTTTCTATCTTCCTTTTAATGCCTAAATTCAATTTGTATTGTTATTCGTTGTTAGCATGGTTGTTAGTATTTCTTGCTAGTGACCTGCCTATCTTTGTTAATTTTTTCTTATCTTCTTTCAAATTTTATAAAAAAGCACAAGGGCGTGGAAATATATGTGTGTGTGTGTGTGTGTGCATTTATTTATGAATATTAAATGTAAATGGCAATCAATCTCTTTGTGCTATGTGCACTCATGAAAGACAATTGTGGGCAATTTGAATGGCACTCTTATTGTCGAGTAGAGGGAAATAAGAGAGGAGAGAGGAAAAATACTTCTTCATTCTAAAATCATTGTGTAGGATTGTTGAAAATTATTTAAACTAGACACATTTGTCTCCTTGACTATTGGTAAGCTCCTGAAGGTGACAAATACAAGGTCGCCAAACGATGGGGTCATATTCATATCGTTACGCGTAAATGGTTTGATCAATCTGTTTCTAGAAGAGGTGATGCATTATGTTCATGGTTCTGTAACTTTTAACTTTCTAACTTTTGTTTGTGGTTTGAGGAATCCCTAATATGGCGTCTGACCTTAAATTTACTTTTTGAATGACTAGTGTGTCTTAATGAGGAGTCCTATCCTGTTCAGGGTGGATCTTCATCTTCAATAAATGGCATGAGGACTTGTTTGTTGGCACGGCGCAGCCAAGACAAAGGTGTGGGAAATTCGCAATGTGCCCCATCGTCAGTGGCTGGAGATTCAAATTTGGAGACTGTTTTATGTGGTGGAATTGCAGATCCAGAATTAGAAGCTACTCTCTCACAGAACGTTTCTACTACATTTTCGGACACATCTATCTTTGTCAAAGAGGAGAGTGGAGCCCTTGCTAAGCAGCCTAAAAGTGATACAAATTTTGATGGATGTGTTGCTGATGACTCTCAAAATGAGGACAATGATTTGTACTTGTCAGATTGCAGAATTCTACTACTTGGTTTTGATGCCTCTGAAATGCGTAAGCTAGTCAACATGGTCCGTCGAGGTGGTGGGTCCCGTTATATGTCATTCAATGAAAAATTGACGCACATAGTTGTTGGAACTCCATTGGAGATGTAAGATCTTATTTATAATATTATTTTTTTTGTGCATTTTAAAAAAAAGTTGCTATCATCAATACATAATTGTGTTGAAACACTTGTCAACTGGCTTATGAACTCAACCTGATGTTATTTGTGTAATATGGTTCTCTACTGAGCATGGAGCCTTGTTTTTTAACTAATTTTTTTTCTTGGTCTATTTGATGAAATTTTTGAGGTTGAAATTACTGTATGTATGAGATTTCTTACATATGCTTCCCTTGTGTGTCTTTCACATCTATAAGTGATGAGTAACATTCACATTCGTTTGATTGATCTCTTACTGAAGTGGTTTCCATGTGAACTCGTTTTGCTTTATACTAAAAAGAGGAACAAGGAAAAGGTTTATTAGAAACAAATTGCTGAATGGTCAGCATTGACATAAGATTGAAGTCCCCAAGAATGCAAAAGATTTAGGGTGATCAAATAAATGTCTGCCAATAAGTAATGGACCAACAATGTAAAACAGAAGTTGTTTTGACAATTATGTGTACTATGGTAATCTTCTAGTTCGTTATTAATATATTCATCTGCGAAGCAGGATTACTCTGGGATATGTTGAAATTGAATGTATAAAGAGAAATAGAGAATTGTATTATTGATGTAATATTGATTGATATATATTGAATGTTACAATGATTCCTATATATAGAAGAGTATGTGGTAGTAGGTGGTAGGTGGAGTAGGTGAAGTGGAGGTGGTAGTGGTGTAGTGGGTTAGGTTTAGTGGAGTAGGTGAGGTGGTAGTGTGGGTTAGGTTTAGTGGAGTAGGTGAGGTGGTAGTGGTGTAGTGGGTTAGGTTTAGTGGAGTAGGTTTAAGTCGGTGAAGTAGGTGATAGGTTTTAACAGCCCCGCAAACTCAAGGGGGATAGGAACTAGTCAACTTGAGTTTGGAGAGAGTAACAAAACAAGAAAATAGACGAATACATAAAAGAAAAGAGGATAGGAGACACTGTATGGTCGTGTCAGACCGATGGTGAAGACACTGTACGGTGGTGTCATAACGTTGTAGAGGTCACTGTATGACGGTGTCAGACCGATGTAGAAGACAGTTTATGGGGTCATGTCGGACCGTTGTAGCAGACAATGTGGTGACAGTTGTTGTGACAGTTTACGGAGTCTTGCTGGACCCTTGTAGAAGCTAACCGGAATCAATGTCGGGACAGTTTACAGAGTCTTGTCGGACCCTTAAAAAGTCGCACCCTCAAAAGGTGTGCCCAATCTATCAAAAAACGTGACATCAAAAGGCGTGCCATCAAAAGACGGGCCATCAAAAGGCGCGCCCATTCCATAAAAAGGTGTGCCGGACATGATGGCGAGACGCGTGACCACATTGGCTTGCGCGCCCGTTTTGTCGTCTGGCGTCAAGTGGCGCGCGATGTGCGTGTCTGCCTCTTCATCATGGTCTTTATAAACCGAAGCGGAGGCTGAGGCTTGAAAGCATAACTAACCAGTGGAAACCTCTTCGTTCTTATCCTATGGCTATGTGTGATTTTCTTTGAATTGCAAGTACATTTTCCCATATCAATGCAGTCATGTGTCAACTCAATACATTCTTGTCCTTCATACTTGGTTTTGGGTGCCCAAAATTGGTTTTATCTGCTCTGAGATCGTATTGTGAGTAGTCATCATTTCTTTATTACCTAGCCTTTAGGCCTTTCTATCTTCCTTTTAATGCCTAAATTCAATTTGTATTGTTATTCGTTGTTAGCATGGTTGTTAGTATTTCTTGCTAGTGACCTGCCTATCTTTGTTAATTTTTTCTTATCTTCTTTCAAATTTTATAAAAAAGCACAAGGGCGTGGAAATATATGTGTGTGTGTGTGTGTGTGCATTTATTTATGAATATTAAATGTAAATGGCAATCAATCTCTTTGTGCTATGTGCACTCATGAAAGACAATTGTGGGCAATTTGAATGGCACTCTTATTGTCGAGTAGAGGGAAATAAGAGAGGAGAGAGGAAAAATACTTCTTCATTCTAAAATCATTGTGTAGGATTGTTGAAAATTATTTAAACTAGACACATTTGTCTCCTTGACTATTGGTAAGCTCCTGAAGGTGACAAATACAAGGTCGCCAAACGATGGGGTCATATTCATATCGTTACGCGTAAATGGTTTGATCAATCTGTTTCTAGAAGAGGTGATGCATTATGTTCATGGTTCTGTAACTTTTAACTTTCTAACTTTTGTTTGTGGTTTGAGGAATCCCTAATATGGCGTCTGACCTTAAATTTACTTTTTGAATGACTAGTGTGTCTTAATGAGGAGTCCTATCCTGTTCAGGGTGGATCTTCATCTTCAATAAATGGCATGAGGACTTGTTTGTTGGCACGGCGCAGCCAAGACAAAGGTGTGGGAAATTCGCAATGTGCCCCATCGTCAGTGGCTGGAGATTCAAATTTGGAGACTGTTTTATGTGGTGGAATTGCAGATCCAGAATTAGAAGCTACTCTCTCACAGAACGTTTCTACTACATTTTCGGACACATCTATCTTTGTCAAAGAGGAGAGTGGAGCCCTTGCTAAGCAGCCTAAAAGTGATACAAATTTTGATGGATGTGTTGCTGATGACTCTCAAAATGAGGACAATGATTTGTACTTGTCAGATTGCAGAATTCTACTACTTGGTTTTGATGCCTCTGAAATGCGTAAGCTAGTCAACATGGTCCGTCGAGGTGGTGGGTCCCGTTATATGTCATTCAATGAAAAATTGACGCACATAGTTGTTGGAACTCCATTGGAGATGTAAGATCTTATTTATAATATTATTTTTTTTGTGCATTTTAAAAAAAAGTTGCTATCATCAATACATAATTGTGTTGAAACACTTGTCAACTGGCTTATGAACTCAACCTGATGTTATTTGTGTAATATGGTTCTCTACTGAGCATGGAGCCTTGTTTTTTAACTAATTTTTTTTCTTGGTCTATTTGATGAAACTTTTGAGGTTGAAATTACTGTATGTATGAGATTTCTTACATATGCTTCCCTTGTGTGTCTTTCACATCTATAAGTGATGAGTAACATTCACATTCGTTTGATTGATCTCTTACTGAAGTGGTTTCCATGTGAACTCGTTTTGCTTTATACTAAAAAGAGGAACAAGGAAAAGGTTTATTAGAAACAAATTGCTGAATGGTCAGCATTGACATAAGATTGAAGTCCCCAAGAATGCAAAAGATTTAGGGTGATCAAATAAATGTCTGCCAATAAGTAATGGACCAACAATGTAAAACAGAAGTTGTTTTGACAATTATGTGTACTATGGTAATCTTCTAGTTCGTTATTAATATATTCATCTGCGAAGCAGGATTACTCTGGGATACATGATGGCTTTCTTTGTTTCCAATTTATATTTGATTCTCAAACATTGAGCATGATTTGTGTTGCTGGCTTGGGTGATTGGAATGAGGGACTGTGGAATATTATTGTACTCTTAAATAAGATTTGTGCATGTCTGAAGGTTAGGAAACACTTTACTTCTCTCACATGCCAATGCTTTGCAGTGAGAAAAAGGAGGTAAGGGGCCTTGCAGCTTTAGGTGTCATTTATGTGGTCAGAACCGTGTGGCTTGAAGATTGTGATCGCACAAAAAAAGAAGTTCCTGTCCTTCAAAGGCACATTGCTTATGAGTTACTTCTTCCAAAAGGTTTAATAATTATTTTGTGTGATATATCAGTTGTTTTTTATTTATTTATTTTTAGTTTGCCAGTTTTGCTGTGTATTTTATGAACATTATTGCATTGCATTGAGTTGGTTGTGTTCAGTAAGCCTTTGAGCCTCTCTATGCATGACTTTTATCTCATTATTAACTGTATTTCTTAAATCACAGATCCTGTATGCTCCAATAAAGGAGCCACAATGGGCATAGCTGGTATGAAACAGGGGAAAGCCTCCGCTGTTCAGTCTATCTTGCCAGATGATCAATTATGGGGAGCTACAAATTCTGGATCTGGGACTCCATTGGATAAAAACGACGAATTAAAAGTTAACTTGACTGAGGATAGCTCTTTGAGACCAACAGTGAGATCTGATAAGCATATCCAGTTTTGTGCTTTTAATGGTAAAGACAAGGATCCACAGAAGACACAACGTCCTTCATGCAATGAAATTCTGGATGTGAAGTCATTGAATGTATTTAAAGGGAAGCTATTTCGTTTTGCAAGTTCATTTCCACAAGCTAGGGTAAGCTTCTTTCATTAAATAGGATACGATAGGATGAGTTTTTCCTTAAATTTTCATTGATTAGCTTAGTTTTTGTTGAAGATATTTTATATTGATGCTTCTTTTGCTGTTTAACAAAAAAAGGTATATTTGGAAGTCAGTTTCACAGTAACACAAGTTATTTAATTTGTGGACAATGTGATATAAATTTTAGCTGAACATTCAAGATATAGAAGAGATTAACACCCTAAACCAAATTTGTAATATTTGCAAAAGAAAATTTATGGAGTGATTTTCTAGACCGTGGAAGTGCTTGCTGCTGAGAACTTATGATGCATCCACCTATTACACTTGGATTTGGTTGTTCAGTGTTTGGTTTTGAGCGAAGAATATTTTTTTCCATCTATATACAATTAGAATGTGATGCAAATTGTGTCTTAATAGAATAATACATTTAGTTAAGAAGGCAAATTGAGAACAAGATTAAGCTAGAACTCTGGTCTCAATTCTAGTTGACTGAATTTCATAAACAGTACTTCCAATACTGCTGGATCCAATATGGAAAGAGTCCTTTATTTTTGTTTTGTTTTTAATTTTTAGGTAAATGTCCTTTTTGGTTTTTGAACCTAAGGACTATGTAAAATCAATAATCTAAATTGACCTATTTGCTCATGTTCACACAATTCATTTAAAAATCACATAACATAGAACTGATATGAAAAAAGCACCCATGACTTGAACTTAATGGTAGATCAACAAAGAAATCACTAAAAATTAATTTAATACAGATTTAAGAGTGTAGGACGTCCGAAAATGTGGAGTGGTGTATTCAAGAATCTGTATCACCGAAGAGGTGAGTGTAAAAATATATTGATGTATATTATTGATTGATGTATTGATTGTTGTGTAAATTACAGATGGTGAGGTACTCATTATATAGGAGAGGATTGGGGAGTAGGTGAGTGTGTGTGGTAGGTGAGTTGAGTGGAGGTGGTAGGTGATGATATATTTTAACAGCCCCCCGCAAACTCAAAGAGGATAGAAACTAGCCAACTTGAGTTTGAAGAGAGGAACAAAATAATAAAATACATAAAAATAAAAGAGGATAGGAGACACTGTATGGTCGTGTCAGACTGATGGTGAAGACACTGTATGGTGGTGTCATAACGTTGTAGAGGACACTGGATGGTGGTGTCATAACGTTGTAGAGGACACTGTATGGGGGTGTCAGACCGATGTAGAAGACAGTTTATGGGGTCATGTCGGACCGTTGTAGAAGACATATCACAATATATCGTAATTTTTCTCATAAAAATAATTTTTAAAATTTTACACTACTGATGATTCGTAACATTCATAAAATAATCACAATAATTTGAAACTTCCACTTTAAAAATGTATACTATAGATTTTTATCACAAATTAATATACCTAATACTTGAAATGACACAACATTATATAATGTACCTTTTTAAATGTGTGCATTATAAATTTTTCCAATAATAATGGGAGCATATATATATATATATATATATATTTGAAAATAGCAAAAAGACCCAAGTGGACTATGGATTAATTTTTTTTAAATTTTTTTTATTGGGAAATGCGGACTAGTAATGAATAACAAAAAATAAAAATTAATTTAAAAAGTTATTTCATAGCTTGTTTACCAAACATTACTCATTTACTTAAAACTATAATCCAGTAGTTGCACCAAACAGATTAACAACTTCTGATTAAAGTTAGAATCTATAATATGCCAAGCTACAATCTATAATCTATTTAACAGTTGCACCAAACACCCCCAATAAATCATTGGAGAGAGGCAAACAATGTAGAATAGTAAATAATCTGAGAGATGGAGAGCAAGTAGCTGGGTGAGAGTGGGCAAGCAGTTAGGAAGGAAGGAATATGGTAGTAAACAAATGGGCAAAACTTCTCTCCTAAAATCCTTTTTTTGAAGTTTGGGAAATGGACCCTATTTATAGGCTTTTCCTTGGTGCACAAGAGACTTATGTCTCGTTTGGGATCAAGCTATTTTAGGAACTTTTTGACTTTTTACGAAAAGATGTATAGAAAAGTAGAGAGAGTGATGTGATAACTTATAGTGACTTTTTGGCTTTTTGGCTAAAATAGTTACTCTCCAAACGATAGGGTGATGACATGTGTCTCTGGGGATCATGTGGAACTGTTGGGCCTCAGTGAACACATAGTACCTCCTTTAGTAACACCTGTGTTGGTGGTACCTCATTTGGTATTAGTCTTCTCGGTACTGCTTTCCATAGACCTTGTTCAGGAGACATAGCGTTGCTTTGGCTAAACTAGAATCCACCTTAGGAATTCCCCAACTCTTAGCCACCAAAACACATGATTCCCATTATCTCAATTTTGGGTCATAACAAGGCCTTAGATCATCCGAGCTATGCTTCCTACCAAGCCTCAGGAGCTCCCTAAGTCCTGCCATTGCTACAAAGGCGGGTCTCTTAGCCTAGGTAATTGTATATTTATGGTAAGGAAGTTCCTTGCTTTCGGGCTTCTTTTGCCCGTCTTCGCAGGATTCATGATTTTGACTTGCCATGGTATTTTTGGTATCTTTTGGCCTGCTATCGGCTCCAATCAGCAATCTTCATTTGCACGGATGGTAGGCCTCCTTCTAGGGCTGCACTCGCCTCAGGGAGTCTTTCCTCAGATAGTTGTACCTCGGTTAGTGATGCCTCAGTGAGTCTTACCTCAGGAGTCTTACCTCGGTTACTGCTGCTGCGGTTAGTCGTTTCGGATCTAGTAATCAGACCCTATTTGGTTCTTCGTTGGCCTATATTCCTTAGGGTTTTGCCCATACTCCCTTCTTCAAAAGTATTTCTCCCGCCAAAACGACGTTGGCGGGATAATTTAAATTTTGAATTTCATCGTCCTACAACTCTAAACTTGCTATCAGCTCTAAGGGGACCCTGCCCTCAGGTGGTACCTTGGGGATTTTGTTTACCTCAAGGGCTTTACTCACGCCTTAAAGGGTTTTGCCTCAGTTAGTTGTACCTCATTAGTTTCACCTCAGCTAGTTGTGCCTCAGTTGGTCCTTCTTTCTTAGAGACTTGGTCTTGTTTTTCAATTAATAACAAAAAGGCTTTGGATAAAGCGATATCGTACAATGCATACGAGCAAACCCAAATAAAAAACACCACAATATGTCCATTTGTTGGCATGAATCACTGTATTGATCATCTGGTGAATTTAATTAATTTTAAATGCCAGGGAGAAAATTTCTCTAGAGTTTGTGCACACGCCTATTGTTGCACATGGCTTCAAGTATCTGAATAAGAAAATGAAAATCAGAAAAATTCATATTTAGGGAAAAAGTGATGATATAAAGAAGTTGCACACAAACAGGCTCAATTGATGCAAATACGTTGATGGCAAATTGATTAGTAAAGAAGCCTAAATGTTTGAAATGAAACTAGATGCCAATGCATTGGGTCTGAATCGGGCTGGGTTTTGATTCAAGGGTAAGTAATCAAATTTAAGGGAGAATTTCCTTTATCATATCACTAAAAGTCTTCATATCACCACTATGAATTGTGGCGGATTCTTATTTTTGGCTCATCAGAAAGGGTTGGGGGCTTGGGAATTATGATGTTACTCATTATACTTCAATGGATATCTCAATATCTTGATTGTCATTCACCCAAAAAAAAAAAAAAAAAATCTTGATTGTCAATTTGATGTTTTAAAAGATAAATTGGGTTGATTTGTTGATGGATATATTGACATGTCTATGGACACTTAGAACATTGAACATCTGGTAGCTTGATCTTGAAGCCTTAAGCTGGTTACTGCCATCCTGGAGCATTTTTTTATTTGCTTAAATCATGTTGTTTCACTTTTCTGTTTTGATGATCCTTTTTGTCAAAAAAAAAGTGTTACTTTCTATTTATCATCGACTATGTTTGACTAGAAGTTTTGGATTCTTTATCTGGCCAGAGGGCTGAAATTATTCAATGGGTTAATCAAGGGGGAGGAGCAGTGGTGGATGAGCAGACTGAACAGAATGCACACTTCACTGTTGAGTGCCATGGTGTGGTACCCAGCCTGGTTGATGTTTCCAGAACTACCCACATATCCAGTCACTGGATTCGGTCTTGTTTGGAGGTACAATGATCAATTCATGAATGGCTCTGCTTCTTATGTCTTTTTTGTTATGGTATTGGAAGCATGCGACATACTAGATGGCTCATGTGAAGCTTTAAGCTCCTTGATTCCAGACATTCTTTTCGTTTCCCTTTCACTTAAGATTATCCTTATGTTCAAATGCCTTTTTCTGGTTTATTTCTTCTTTTTTTTTTTTTTTGTGCCTTTTTACACTTCAAGTGACCTTCAGGTCATCTCTCATCTCTCACCATGAAGTGCAAAGACCTAAAAACATATCACTATATTAATGAAGTGTTTAAATATTTTCTTTTTTGCTATTATGTCCATTGCTGCAAGTATATGCCATTTTCCTAAATACTCCAAACATTGGCTCATTTTGAAAACATTGGCTTGTTTCACTTTGTCAGGATGACTGGTTCCTTAATTATCCTTATTTCAAGACTGTTGGCTCATTTCAAAAACATTGGCTGGTTTCACTTTTGTCAGGATGACTAGTTTCTTAATTATCCTCATTTTAAGGCTGTTTGATGTTTGAATCTTTATTATATTTCAATTCTTTACTTATAACTACTACTGGAAAGTGGATGAAGATTTAAACTTAGAGGAAAGTTTATCTTGAAGCTTCAAATTTTGAAAACTTCAAACTTGGGCAAAGCTTGTTGAGTTGAGTATTAAACATCCTCTTAGTTCAACTTATTTGAGAAGTTGAGGGGGCACAGTTAGCAGGTTTATGCATTGAATGCCTTTTATTAGCTTGGCGAAATTGATTGGCATCCATCTTCTATCATTTTCTTGGACTAACAATAACTATTTTAGTCATTGAGATTCTGGTACCATGAATTTTATTGTTCCCTTTAGTTACTCTGTAATTTGTTGTTTTTCTTTCTTTCTTTTTTTCCTGCTGTCATCTTGCTACTCATCAGTTTAATTGAATATTTTTTTACCTAATATTTTTATTGTTCTTCAACATCTTCTTCGACTTCTGATCTGCTGTCATCACAGTTAGCTTTCTTGTCTCCCCCAACCATCCTTTTAACAAATATTTTCAAAGTCAGAAGCTAAAGTTGCACAATTGTCTTTTTTTTTTCTTCCACCCCACTCACCTCAACATTTTGGAAAACATAATCATAGGGCAAGTGCTAATGAAATTAGAACGTTGCTATTGAAGGATGGATGCTTGCTGGATGTTCGTAGTCACATTCTCTATTCTCCACTGCCATGCCGGGTTCCTTTCCCTGGGTTTGAAAGGTTTCGTTTCTGTGTTTCTCAGTATGATGAGAAAGACAGGCTGCTACTAAGAAATTTATGCTTCATTCTTGGAGCCAGATTTGTTGAAAAACTGACTAAAAAGGTCACCCATTTATTGTGCAAGTTCACCAATGGTCCAAAATATGAGGCTGCTTGTAAATGGCAGATACAGACAGTTACATGTGAGTGGATTTACGAGTGTATTAAGCAGGTTGGTCACTTAAACACTCTCACCATGTGTATATCAATTGCATCTCATCTGTTTGCTTTATATCCATCTAATCTTTTTACTATCCGTGCTGGGACAGAGTGAAGTTGTTGCACCCGGTTCATTTTGTCCAAAGAAAGTTACTTCTCAGGACCGAGAGGCAGGACTCTGCACTTTAAGCCAGTATCCTACACAAGCCACTAGAATGATATCTGGAGATGATGCATCTCAGTTTCCAAGTCAGTCCCAGGACCCGAGAAATATACAGAGTCGAGCTATTGGCACGAGTGACAACAGTAGGGAAGAGGCAAAGTTTTCAAGTATTTGTGGTAAAAGGGCAAGGCTTTTTGAAGAAGACATTGATAAGGGTATACTATCTTCTGGATCAAATCATAGTGATCCTACCTGCAAAATGACTTCCACAGGAAACAACATACCACGAAACACTGGAGAAGTTTCTAATGCTGTACCTGACGTGGCTGCTGCTATTGAGGATTTGTTAGCACAGACTAGTAAGGTAAAGCCGACAGTTCTAATCTACTGTATCAATTAATCAATGTGCAGGTTTGTCTGTTGAGTGTTAACTTTTATATTGTCTGGTTTCTGCTATTAGATTCATGATCTGAAGTCTCCGGGGAGTATCGAATGCGATAAAAATGTATCCTTCAATTCATTTGAGTTTCACTTATTCATTGTCTTTTATATACTATTGATATCTTCGTTAGTTTCAATCCTTTATTCTAGAACAGCTTTTCTCATCTGATTGTTCAATCCTTGGTCAAGATCAGGCAGATCCGCATTCTGCCTTTGTGTTGTCCAAGCACTGGATAAATAGGTTTTTTTCTCATCTTTTCTCCTAGTATCATTGATATACTGGCATTATTTTTTCCAAACATTGAAGAAAAGTTAAATTAACTGGCATTGCTATTGTTGTCCTCTTTATTTGTACTGAGAAAATTCATTTGATTTTCCATCTTATAATAAATATATGTGCCAGGAACTTAAGGCGAGCAATATTAGATAATTTGGTTACTTAACAATGAAATTCTTTGAGTGGGCATTAAGATTTGTCCATCAATAAACCCAAGCCCTTCCCAATTGATTAAGGCTTGTCTGTTCCATTCGGCATTTTCTTCATTTGGAGCTTATTTTGCATCAGGGCTGACAGAAAGGATGATGTTTGTGATCCTTCTGGAGATCGGAATGCAGGCATGTATGACGGCTTTAGTGAAACGCAAACAGAATCTCAGGTTTCAACTCTTAATCACTTGCCATTACTGGTGCTTGTTTTCCATGTTTGAAACTCCTAGTAGCTGTCAGCCTGTCTTTATTGTTATTGCTTTCGTGGTCTGAGTTGTGAGCCTCTTCACGCCACTGTTACTTTGACATTGTGTTAGAAAACGCATTTTTCAAGGGAACTTGAAAAGATAAGTGATTTGAGCTGGTTCGATCCCTATTTACCCTTTTTCATGTTAATGATAGTGCTGTATGCTGCAATTGCAGGTTGTTGGTTATGAAGAAGATTTATCTGGCCGGCAAATGATTATAGATAGAGTCCGAACAAGGAGTAGCATGATTTGAACTCCCACTGCAACTCTCAACTGACCAAAATGACATGAATACCAGTACAGAGAAACAGAACAAAAACAACATGCTGAATTTAGGGTTCAAGAAATTGAATATAGTAAATGAGTCTGTTGTATTCGTATTGGATGTGAGCCCTTTAGGTAAGGATTAGATAAGGTCTTTAATCTCCTTGCAAGTTAGCCATTTTGGGCTGTGTGGTAGGTTGACCCTCGTGAAATTCATTTGGGTATTTCCCGTTGTGTAGATACGAACATTCCTACCTCTTGTTGAAAGAGAGAAGAAAAAAAAAAAAAAAAAAAAAAAGAAGTTTAAGCTTTTTTTTGGGTTGGATTCGAATTTTGCTAAAAAATTATTTTATAAATATAGAATTTTAAAAAAATAAAATACTATTTAAATGGCATCAAACCTCTTTTAAAAATAAATTTATTTTAATTAGTAAAATAAAAAAATTCAAATTTTAAAAATAATAGAATAATAAA